GCAGCTGCTTGTATTGAAGACTTTGCTAAAGCAAAGAGAGAAGTGTGGGTTTTTTGTGTGTGTGGTTTTTTTTTTTTTTTTTTCCTTTAACACTAATGATCCTTTTTAAAGCAGCTGAAAGTCAGTCGGGGTCAATTTTCCGTAGGAAAATCCCCTGCTCCATTGTCCTTTAGGACAACCAATTTTAAGCCACCACCCTCATCAAAGCAGCACTGTGTAGCCAACATACCTCTGTGCAATTCTCCTCACCTTCTCTTTGGTATTTTCTGACTCTCACACTCAAGCCAGGCTGAAACCGAAACTCATCTCCTGCCTGCCTGGGTGTGAATAACCTCCCCTGCTCCCAGGCAGCGCTACTGGCAGGAGGGAGTTGGTGCCAAGCACCCCTCTGCTGGTGAATGAATCCCCAGGGCTGGGAGGATGAAGTGTTTCACACCCTGAAGCTGTACTGCCAGCCTCTGTTGTACCTCGGGGACATGAAACAGCCTGGAGAGGAGCTGTGGTGGCTGAGCTGATGAGTGGCACTGAATTAGATCTGGTGGAATTGTGTCCAGTAAATGTGTCCGTGTACAGACAGAGGCCTCTCATGGTTGGGCTGACATAGGACGTGGAATCCAGTATGCTACAATAGGCATCATGTTCTAATTTGGGATTTTACCTGCCTCAAAATTCCACTCCCATTTGAGTGCAATTCCCAATGCAGGGCGACTCTGGCAATTCATGTCTGTACTGTTCCTGCACAGTCTGATCCATAGCCCAAGCCATGCAAAAATAACTTGCTTTTAAATGGTTTAAGTGCATGCACAAGCAGAAATTTAACCAATTTACTTTAACCACATCTCTTAGTCAAAGTGTAGATGAAATGTGCAATTTCCTTCCCCCATGGGATCAGGTTGTGGTGGGGGCTGCAGTGCTGGTCTCCAGTCCCACTTTTGTCCCTTTTCCTGCTGAAGCCACTGTCGCCAGGTATCCTGGCTGGGTTTTGCTTCGTTTTCCCTGGGGCAGCAGTTCTGCTCCCCTCCAAAAAATCTGCTGGCTACTGGGCAAGACACAGCTTTCCTGGGCTTCAATTCAAATACACCCTGGGTGACCCGGGGAATCCCACCAAGAAGCTGACAAGGGCTAATTGCATCTTTTTAATTAAGTGACCTGCTGCCCATACCGCAGGTGCTGTGCTGCTCCAGAACATGTAGCTACTCACGCCCAAAACTGGAGGGGATGGTTTGGTGGCTTCCTGTGCTTCCCCTCCAGTATGATGGACACGGACGGAGTTCCCTGGGCTGCGCGCAAGAGGGAACGTTCCAGGGAGAGCAGAGAAACCCTCCATAGTGGGACTTTTCACTTGTTTTACACGGGAAATGGTCACTGACTTGGCTCAATAAATAAAGCCAGGCGCGGGTGGGTGCCAGAGCCACCGTGGCGCGGGTGGGGCGCTCGAGGCTGGGCGACAGATTTGCGAGGCGGGAGAGCCTCCTGCTGGAGAGACAGGGCGCGGGATGCAAGATGCGGGATGTGGGATGCAGGGAGCTGCCTCTGCCCGCTGTCCCCATGGAGGGACAAACACCGCTTACCGCTCATTTTTTGAACCACTCTCTTAATTCTTGAGGCTGCGCCCCTGCTTCCCTTCCAACTTCTCCAGCCGTTATTCCTTTGCCTCCAGAAGCTGAAGCTTGGCACTCCTGGGCACCTCTGGAGGAGCCCCGGGATATCCAGGTGGGGGGCACTGCTGGTCCTCAGGGCTGGGACATGCAAGTAACATCCAAAACCCATGGGAGTGGGGAGTGTTTCTGGTGTGATGCTGGGCAATACCTTGGCTGTGTTTCTTCCACGGCGTTTGTCTCCATCCTCCTTTCCTGACATTGTGCTCTGCCTGGGGCTCCATGCCATGCAGTTAAGGAAATGGCAATGATCTCTGGAGAAAGGCAGCAAGGACATAGAATCATAGAGCTATGGAATTGCTAAGGTTGGAAAATATCTCTAAGATCATTAAGTCCAACCATTAATCAGCACTGCTAAGCCCACTGCTAAACTGTGTCCCTGAGTGCCACATCTACATCCTTTTGAACCCTTCCAGGGATGATAATTCCACCGCTTCCCTGGGCAGCCTATTCCAATGCCTGACCACCCCTTCAGCAAAGAAATTTCTCCTAACATCCAATCTAAATCCCTGCTGCAACTCCCTGCTGAAGTAATTTCCTCTATCCTGTCACTCATTGCCTGGGAGAAAAGACCAAATCTCACCAGGCTACACCTTCCTTTCAGGAAGTTGTAGTGTGTGATAAGTTCTTCCCTGGGCCTCCTTTTATCCAGGATAAAACCCCCCAGCTGCTTCTCATAGGACTTGTGTTCCAGACCCTTCCCCAGCTTTGTTGCCTTTCTCTGGTCACACTCCAGCACCTCTGTGTCCTTCCTGTAGTGAGGAGCCCAAAACTGAACACATGCTAAGGCATGGAACAGCATCCCACAAAGTAAGACTCTGAGCTTAGCCCCTGCAGCCAGGCTGCACTTACACTTGCTTTAGCAGTTGAACTTGATGGTCTTAGAGCTGTTTATGAACCTGAAGAATTCTATGATTCCATAATATTTTTATAATAATTTTTAAAACCAGGTGCAGCATAAAGGGAGGTGATTTGTCCTGGTGTTATTCCTTTGTAGGTGTCTGCTCCCAGCCCTGGTTGAGTCAAAGTGGGCTGCTGGTTGAAGCCAGCATGGCTGCCCCAACCAGGGACAGAGGAACAACTTCATCTGAGCTCTGGGTTCCAACAGATGAAAGCTGGGGCTCTGCCAACACATCGAAGGCATTACCACTCCCAGATGGCTGCTCTGTCCCTCTGCCATGATGGACATGCTTCCTAGCTGGAGCAGGAGCAGGGACATCTGCCTGGGTTTCAGTCACCAGGAATTGCTGCTGGCCTCCCTGTGCAAGCTTGCCTTTGCTCTCAGGTGAGAGGATGGACTGTAAACCCAAACTGCAGATGCAGATGTCCAGAAGGATGTCCAGAGGAGCCATGCAGCAGCCTGCAGTAGGGAGAGGCCCAGGCACATAAGGTTGGTGACACTTTGCCCACTTCCACTGCTGCCAGGACTTGCCAGCAACTTGTTTGCACAGAGATCGAAGCTGTGCACTGATTTCCTATAGCTGAATTCTGATAAATGCACTGGCTCATTAGATTTCTTTTGGGCCATGAAGTCCTATTCCCTCAGGGATGCCCCCAAACCTGATCTCCCTGTGTTAGAGAATTGCCTTCTCAGTATTTTTTTCCAGAGTGGCTTCCTGAGACCCAGCACAGGTGAATGCACCTCCTTTATGGGCACCCTAAAAGTGCATTTTCTTTCTTAGCATGGTTTGGATATCACGGGACCCTGTGTTGTACGTACTGCTGTGCAGTGCAAACCTGGATAAATTCCCTTTGAATGTCACATCCTCTCCATGGACTGTGATGCATCTGAGTGTTACCTCCTTTAATCAGGGGAGGAAATAAAATTTGCCTTATTCCTTCTGTAAAAAACTCACAAAGCAACAGAGCAGTGCTTTATTTCCATATTTTGACCAGAAATTCATTCCATATAGAGCAGAGAGTGATGTAACACGTGCTCCAAGTAGGTGCTTACATTCAGGCATGAATTGCCTGACGCCCGTCGTTATTTACAGCCCCGGTGGCGTTGCCGGCAGCTCCGCGTGGCGCTGCCCCTGCTGCCACCAGCTGTGCGGTGTGTGCAGCTCACAAAGCATCTGCGCACAGCTGCCTGCCGAGGAAACCCGGCCCCGCTCCCCCCGGGCCAGCCAGGAATTGCAGACAGGGAACAAAGCAGCTGGCAGGCAGGGAGATGCGCGGGGAAGAGCGAGGCCGGATTTCTTGTCTAGCAAGACATAAATCGTCTTTCTAAAGGCAACCCAGGGTTTGTTTCGATGTGGAGGGCTTATGCCCTTGGAGCAGGGCTGGTGGGATGGGAGCGTCAGGCTGTGCTGCTGACAGGAGTTGAGACAAGGAATTACAGGCGTTGCTGATAAAGCCACGTTAAATTGCACGCGGTTTTCCTGCTCTGAGTCAGCTGCTGCCCCTCTGTCGTGGACAGAGCAAAGATGAACGGGGTGGGGGTGGGTGCACAGGAGCAAGGAGGCAGCAGGGTCTGGGGAGCTGGGAGTGAACTGGCCCACAGCTGCTGCCTTCCCGGCTCCTGGGGGGAATACAATCCAGGGCTCCAGCCGAACTGGCATGTTGTCATCTCGAAAGCGGCGCCGTGGCTGAAGAGGTGTGTGTGCTGGCGGCACCAGCCAGAAAGCAAAAAAGGTGCGCCAGGATGAGGGCAGTCTGGGACCCGTGGCAGGGCTGTAGCTTGAGCCAGGAGCTGGCTCCGTCAGGGATTTCTCTCTGCCTTCTTTTGCATCTACTGGAAAACTTTTCTGTAGGTCTCTTAAATTACATTAAGGATTTTTACTGTGCCTCAAACTACTAGGAAGCAGCATACCTATGCTGGATGACACAACAATCCCTAGGCTCTCCTCCTCCCCTTGCTCCCAGGGATGCATAGTGATGTCTGATAAGGCAAGGGAAGAGCAACTGGATGAACCCTCACAACAGTGGCGCAACTCCCACTGAGGCATGGCACAACAGTCATCTTTTAAAGCTGTTTTAACACATCGTGCTGTGTCTGGGCTGAGGCTGCAGCTCTCTCTTGAGGTAGCAGAAGCATTTACCTCTCACACAGCTGCTGCTTTCTGTTTAGAAGCAGCTGAAGGGCAGAGAGGACCAGAGCAGTAAGGAGCTGGAGGCACGTCACGAAGACCAGGCTGTCACTTGGGTCCCTTCCCACTGGTAACCTTTTGCCTCCTATGAATGCCAAAGTGTGCAGTGGCTGAGTTCAGGAAGAAACAGCCGACAAGTTTCACACATCAGGAAATTCCAGGTTTACACACACTGTTAGAAAAAACATATAACACAATAATCAGATTTGTTTTATTAAAAAACTTGCAATAAAATTCCTTGGAATTCACCATCTCAACTTTGAGAATTGCAATATTTTACTAGTACGTAATAACACAGTCTCACATATTTACATTATAATCCTCTATTTAACAAAAATAGCCATGTTGAACTACTGATTAATGCTTCCAAATATTAGCCTCAACATTTCGGCATTTCCCCCAGCTGAGTCACTGTCTATGCTCTTTAGCATTTACAGTATCTAACAAAGCAAAAAGGACACAAAATAATAAAAAGTATGTGTCTCATGATTTCAGGCAAATCCCTTTAAAATGGTAGCTCTCCAACTCCAACATTTTTCAAGAGAAATAAAGTGCATTGGAGAGGAAGATGTATACATTATAGAATGTCAGCAAAGAGTTAAAAGTTTATTTGCAAGACTGTACAGAAGGAAAAAGGCAAAAAAAATCTTCACAAACTGCTACTGCACAGCTTTGGCAGCACATCACAGGTAGCGGGGAAAGGGAGGGAATGAAAAAGCCAACTACAAGAAAAAGGATGGCCCATGCAAATGCCACAGTATGACTTTGCCATAACCTTTGGGTAGGTATTTCCCAAACCAAAGCTGCAGCATAGCCAGAGCCACAGTGCAGAAGTGTAACAACCCAGCATCCCCCCAGCTTGCTGAGCCTGCTGGCTCTGCCAGGCAGGGACAGAGAGCTGAAGCCTCCTGGTAAATCTGCTCCTGCTGTCCAGAGCAGGGCTGATTACTTTAGAGAATTCCACTGGGACAGACCATTGTCTCTCAACTTAATGAACTTATTTTGTTAAGCTGTGCACTGATCCATGTGGTATTTACTTCAGTCGGGATTTTAATTCCCTTTTTAACACTGGCATTTGCTGGTATAGCTCTGCTGCATTTGAGAAGTGACATGGCTAGCTTTGTAACTATCACTGAAAACCAGGATACTGCTGCTTTGTTCAGGAACTGCATATAAGTGGGATGCCACCTTTTTTTTTTTTTTTTTTTTTTTTTTTTTTTTTTTTTGGTTTGCTTATAAACTACTCTAAATAGAAATAATTCTCTTCTGGAAATGGATGGAATGTATATTTTGACAAGTACAAAACCGTTTTAAATGTTCACTAAAGACAAGGAACATCTTGGTATAAAAATAACAGACCCTCCCACCCACTGTCCCCTCTTTACATATCTGATTATAAAATGGTACAATCATTTCAGGTTCCTACTATGAAACAAGTATTGTGGATGGCATTACATACATATACAAAACATTTAGATATTTGACATCTGAAATAACTGTATACATTCAGAGCAAACAAGCATCTTGACCTGGCTATTGTGTTTAATGCTACTCAGGACAAAGAATCAAGAAATACACAAGAAAGGGAAAACACTATTACTCCTTTTTTTTCTCTCATTTCTTTTGCCATTCACTACAGAAAGAAATAACTTCCACCAATTCACAATTAAAATGTTTGAGAGAGACAAAATTAATTTCAGATGGAAAAATCATACATTGGCTTTTCATTCAACATTCACATCTTTCATTTCTTTATTTCTCCCTTTGAAATAGAGCTCCTGCTTAGAAGGGTGTTTCCTTGAAAAAGAAATGGGCAGATAAAGGGGCCAAGTGAGCGTCCAGCCCAGCGGGGTAAGTGGCACAGCAGAGGGGCAGCCCTCACCCTTGCCCTCACTCTCTGTCCCAACCTGCAGCTGCCATCTGTTTCACAAACAAATTCTCCCTGAACAGTCCATCTGACATTCCTCATTCTCCGAAACTATCAATTAGTTCAGGTAACAGCTTGGTAAAATGAAAGCAGTGCTTATTTTGGATCAATTTCCCCTATTTAAGAAGCCTGTGAAAGCTTCCCCTATTTAAGAAGCTGTGAACACCTCCAGCCTCGTTTTCCCTCAGCCCTAAACTACTCTACGTTGTGTTTCCTGCTCACGCTAACCAAGCCGATTCACTGCCGTCATGCTGCCTGTGCCAAATACTCTCACACATTTTTACATCTACAAAACAAATGAGTCTGCATGGGCTCAGTGTTCATCAACAAAGTTCCAGTCCCAGGGTCACCACTAGCCACGAAGAAGCTTGGCTGTCCCCAACCTGCTGGAAGCCCATGACCTGCTTTTCTCCAAGCCCTGGAGCTGAACTTGGGCAAGCTCCCTTCCCCTCTCCAACCTGCTCCAAGAGATACTGGCAGCACAAAACACAGGAGAGGAAGCAGCACTGTGCAAGTTTGATCCCATGATCTCCTTCCCCTGCAACAAATGTTCACCCTTGTACAAACACTTGTGAGACAGGCTGGAAAGGAACAGTCTGGATTTCTCTGCCATTTTAGTCCTGTGAAATGGATGCACCCCAACATCAGTGCTCTTCTTCCAATGACTTCCTTGGGATTTGATCCAGAGGTCATTAGTGAAATCCAAGGGACCACTTATCATATGTGATTTCAATAGTTTCTTTTTCCACATTGCCTCCATAAAGCCTTTTTCCTTGTGCCACAATTTCCCTCAAATAAAAGGCCTAAAAATGACAACTGCTTCTGATTTCACAACAGTACATACTCACATCAATGCACTTTTAAAGCATACATGTCAATTTAATTCTATAGAGTGCTTAAAGAATGAACTGCAGTGCTATGATAGTCCTGATCCTGGTTTTGGGGCTCTAAGCAGTCAGAAAATAAAAAAACCCAAACCCTCAGTAAGTGCCATATCTGTATCACCACCAGAATAGGTGAGCTGTGGGGAGGGGATGTAGACCTGATGCCTTGCACATCTGCATGCACACATCAGGTCATTTGTGAGTGCAAAATTCTGCCTATGCATACTACCTATTGAACAGACCTTTGGGAAGGCAGCATAGTGGAACCCAAGAAAATCCAGGTACACTCTGAGTGCAGTTTCTGTCTCACCAGGTTTTATCCTGCAACCCAGCCTGAGTGATGATGAGCCTCACTAAGGCAAATGTTTCTCCCACCTACCACTTGCTCATGGAAAAGAAAAGTGCTTCAGATGACAAGGCAGGAATTGCTGGGAGAAGCACAGGAACTTAATGACAGGAGTACCTTTACCTGGGAGCCCACACAATCTCGTGGCCACTGCCCCTGTGCAGGAGAGGCCCCCCACTCAGTCATGGTGCCAGCCTGCAGAATTGTATCCATGAACACTTGCTTGTCAAGGGGCTCTAGAGGACTTTGTTCTTTCCTGGCTGCATGCTAAAGGCTGCTCTCCCTTCTGAACAGCCAGTACTGCATCCCCAGCAGCTGAGCCCCACCTACTTAAAGCCCAGGCTTAGCGGGCAGCAGTACCAAGGTGTGCATGGGCTTGCAGATATACAGAATTAAGGCTTTCATACGTGTTACAAACACACATTAGGGGCTCTTTAATGTTTACGAAGCACCTCAAATTCCCAAGGCAGTTCACAGGTTATACATGCAAAGGATATTTTCAGTCAGGTCAAGCTTCAGGAAAACATTTCTTTTTGACACAGGGGCTTAATTATGCTCATAGAAGACCTGTTGAAAATAATGCAATTTTGGTGCAAGTCCAAAATTAAGTGTGGGTTTTTTTAAGAAGGACGGAATAAAACATTTACTTAAGTGCTTTCCTAAGTACAGGCTTCAGTGATGTGTAACCCAGCTTTGCCCTTATCATCACTTAACAGTGCTCAGATCTGCAGAACACCTGAGGACAGGAATGGAACAACATCTTCCCTGAATGAAGCTGCAGGTAGAACTGGGAAAACAAAAGCAGAAAGACTCCTGACCCAGATTTGCTAGGATGCCTCTTCTAAAAGGCGTATCAGTAATTGGTGATATGTCAAAAACACTCACCCAGCCTGGCACCCTGCCTCTGCCAGTGGCCACCTGTGGACCCTGAGGGACCTGATCTAACATGGGATATTTAGGAAAAGTGTGTGCACAGCACAAGACCTCTATAAAGTTCCTTATTAACTCTCAGAAAGACATGCAGGTTCTGAATTACCAAATCTGTGATGCCTTTTTGAGCACAGGTCCCTTTAATGATTTTCCTGGGCAAAGGACCCAGCTCAGTATCAGCTGGGAGTTTTCCCTCCTGCCTTGCTTTTCCACAGACTTTGATTGCTCTGCTGTGCCCTGGGTGGTTCTGCTACAGCAACAGCTAATTGGTCAATCTATCCATTGAGATGAACTTAATTCAGTTCATGAAATAAAATGAAGACTTTGTGACAGCTCCTCTGAAATCCAAGCAGTTTGGCCAGGAGTTCTCTGCCTGTGTGCTGAGCTACAGTGTGCATATGTGAAAGGATCACTGATAACTTGGACATCATGTTTGTCCTGTGACATGTACCACCCAGGCTCCAGTGCTGCAGAAGAAATTGTACCAGTGTGTGGACTTTCTGTAAGGAGCCCTGACTGTATATAACCAGCCTCACTCCTTCCCCTGCAGTTGTTTGAAATTAATTTCATTCCTGGGTCAAAATTTGATGTAAGCACCACTTAAATCTGATTTCAGCATTATTTACAGAGCTTAATTGGAGCTGATGCAGTACCTTGTGCAAACTCTCGTGTGTAGGGATCAATTTCAACATTGATGTGTCAGGCCTTCTCCACAGCAGCAAGGAATAGAGCAGGCACAAAAGAATGAAGAAAACAAGATTACAGAACCACAAATATTGTCAAGACTAACCTAGTGTACCCTCTGGAACAATCTGCAACTTTCTTTTTTAACCAATAATTCCAGCTGCCTCTATCTCTTTAATTGAAAAAATATTTTAATTCCAACAGCTTCTAAAGATGTAACAGCACATTTATGAGTCATTTTCACAGAATCACTGAATAGCTTGGGTTGGAAAGGACCTTATAGATCACCTAGTTCCAAACCCTCTGCCATGGCCAGGTGTGGTGTTGCATTTTAGTTAAATGGTATGCTCTGTCTCACCTCTCGAAAATGTATGGTTTATTCCAAGCCTGTGAACCTCCCCTGAAGTATCATGTATCTGTAATCCCACTGGCCCAAGTCTTATTCCGTGCCCACTTTGAATCTCCCTGTTAAACTGTGCAAGGGAGAACAGATGCCTTCTTGGCCCTTCCCTCCCCTAGGCTCCCCCTCTCTCCCCCTCCCTCCCCTTTCCCCCCTCAGTAGCCATGCTGCTCCCGGGGGTAGAACCCCAAATAAACCCTCATCTAATCAGCACCCTCAGAAGCCATGTGGAGTCTCCTTGCCTGCCTGCTGCTGCCAGCGAACTCACAGCCTAGGGGGCCCGCTGGGGACTCCCTGGGGAGCGCCCCCAAAGGAACTGCAACAGCCAGGGACATCTTTCCCTAGACCAAGTAGCTCAGAGCTCCATCCAACCTGGCCTTGAACACTTCCAGGGATGGGGCATCCACAGCTTCTCTGGGCAACCCCTTCCAGTGCCTCACCAGCCTCACAGTAATAGTTTATTTCTAATATCTAATCTAAATCTGCCCTCTTTCAGTTTAAAACCTTTACCTCAAGATTACCCTGCAATTTAGGGACAAAGAACATAAAACAAAATTAAACTAAATGTTTAATTAGTTCTAAATGGACAGAAGAGCATGGAGAATATTTTTTCCTTCTTTTTATAATGAAGATTAGGGATAAACACATTTGTTCCTGAATAAAATCTGACAAACAAAAATTTTGGCTAGAAGCTGGTTTTCACATTTAACAAGTAAATCCACGAAGAGATTAAATGCAGTGAGCCCCAACTGTTGCATTTTGAGATGCTGCCATGACACTGCCAAATCAAAATGTTTGACCTCTGCACAAAATTTCAATGTAAGATGAATTGTTGATTCTGTGGACTGACTCAGGAGGCAGTAATGTGATTCAAATCATCTGACTCTCAACAGAAACTATGTATTCTTGTGTAACAGTAAGCTTCTTCACATTTGAGTATTTTGACTGAAAAACCAAATTACACACTGAACAATTAACAATGAGCTCTTACCTGGAAAGCAGAGCTCAGGATGAAATAAATTATTATGTCAGGTCATTATTATTTAGGTGTTTTGATTTATATTAGTTCTTTTATTTTCCAATTCCCTCCCCAAATTCCCTCCACAATATATTTTGGTGTATGTATCTGTACACAAATCGCAAATATTCTGTTATGCTTCTGAAAACATTGACAGGGACACTCTGGAGGGCAACAAACTACCTGAACTCTTTTTAGATAACAAGCAGACAAAAACTGCTGTCAAAATATGAGAAATGAAACACACTAAGAGAAAAGACCCAAAGCAAAACAGGAATTAAACATTTCAAATGGTTGCCTCTTGCTCCCTTAGCAATTTCTGACACTGACAGCAGCATCTCCAGACCCTTTGTGAGAATACTGTCACCCGCTTATTGCGGAACTGTTAATAAGCAGCCTCTGGAAACCTCTCAGATGCTCCTTTAGCCCACTGATCTGGTTTTGGTCTGTAAAATTAAGAAGTGATGTTATGTTAGATCTTTTTTTCCAGCTACTGAATTGTCACTTGGAGGAAGAACACGAATGTACTGACACCTGTGAATAGCATAAAATACAGGATAGGACTACATGGATAGACTGATGCTTTAAGCTCTTCTTTCTCTCCTTCACACTGTACAATACTCATCTAGAACAGAAATTTAAGAGACAAACTAATGCCATTTTAGCCCAAATTTCTGCTAATTCAGACCTCTCTCACAAATAAAAGCCTTCAGAATATACCATTTCCAAGCCTGCCACTTAATGAAGGCAGGTGTTACATTAATGCAGGTGCTGGTGCATGATCCTTCTGAAGCCAGCCACATGTAATTCATGCAGAAACAACAAGGCAATGATAAATCTTGGTCAGATCATGAAGTGACCAATGAATGGGAATTCAGGTTTCTGAACTGAACTCTTGAAAAAGCTGGGGTCAGTCAATATAAACAAAGTGTCCATCCATAACAAACTATAAACAAACAAACAAACAAAATAAACATATGCCTTTTCAAAAAACACAACAAAAATTTGATTGAACAAGTGTAAAAAACACTCAAGCTGTCATTTCAGTTGCATGTTTATGAGCCCCTGGAGAGTTCCATGACTGCTCTCAAGCACGTGGGTAAACTGGAAGTGTCTCCACCTCCCATGTGAACCAAACAAAGGTGTGTAGCTGATGAAACTGCATCCAGGCAGACACAACAGTTGCTATTGCTTTTCATGACCATCTCAGCATGGAGTGCGCAGGAGTGACAGTGCTCTGGAGGCATATGCATGACAGGTCCAAATCCTAGAAAGCTGACTCAGTCCCTACCCATGACCCTCCCCTGTAGTTTAGTGTTGGATCTCTGTTTTTCAAGATTTCACCTCTTCACAGTCTTGATCAGTGGAAAGCTCCACATCGGAGAGTCCAACCTCCATTGCCATAATCAATGAAATATCTGAATCACTGCTGATTGCTGGCTCCTGTTCATCTGTGAGGGTAGAAAAGATAGGAAAAGGTCATGTCTTTCTGTTAAAGTATTACTAATTTTTAGTTCTGCAGGTAGAATCCAGAGGTCTCTCTGCCACTGAGATTGTGATTAGATTACAAACTTTGCTGTTATTCAATATCTGTCTAAAACACTTCAAAAATATTCCAAAATCCAAGACATTCATAGTGAAAAACTTGATGAAAAGGAGCCTAGATGGGTAACATTTTCTTCTCTTAATACTCCCAGGGCTTTTCATCCAGGTCCTTCATGAACTTCTCCCACCACGTGAAAATTTCCCTCCCTGTCCCCTTTCACTTTCTCAACCTGGCATCATCCTACTCTCCCCACAAAGATAGCAAGCTAATGACAAAGCCACAGGCACCTAGTGGAACAACTCAGTCATCAGGAAAACATTCCCAACAGGAAAAAAATCTGCCCAAACCCTCATTAAGTGACAGAATCTCAGAGGACATTTTTAAGAGGGCACTACTCTAATGTAGGAACATTGACACTGGGCAAGGACAAAACAAATCCAGGACTTTGGACCAGGCTACCTGCCTTCTCAAGTGCCTTCTCTCATCCTTTTCTAGTCTCTTTAAATTCACCCTTTTCTCTGTTTGAAGATACCTTGCAGGTTCTTGATCCAGGCCAATGGGATCTACCTTAATGCACCATGACCCCAAATACACTGAGAGTTGTATTGTTGACTTCTGCCAAACTGCAAATTACATCGTTGGAAGAGCAACTTGTTTTTGTTTTGATCCCACAGCACTTATCATGTGTATATTTAGTAGCAAATAAAGCCAACAGATTTTAAACAACTGAAAACTAATTTTCTTTGAAGAACAATCAGGAGAAGCTCTGCCGCTTCTCTTCTCCGGCTAGCTGATGTTGAGAGTGAGGGGCGGCAGTTTTCCCCCTGGAGCTCCTTGAATCCCAGTTGTCAGTTGTGCAAAGCACACTAGAGAGATTTTCAAAGGCACAAAACTCTCATAGGTGGCTGAGTCCCTGAGAGAAAAATTTGATGGTTCATATTTTCAAGTGGTTTAATTACAAAGATGGTATTTATTCTGTAACAATACAATGTATTTAAATCTGTGGCAGTTTTCCCTTTACATATTTTATTTTTCAGACAATAGAAGCAGAGCCTGATTGATACTAAAAAGTCTAGAAGTTGAATATCTAAGAATTCATAAGTAAGAAACACGACAAAGGAGCCAGAAAAATAATAACTCCTCACAGTTTAATTATTCACTTGCAGCTAAGTGAGCTCAGTTAATCACCTCTCAAGAGCAGCATGATTTTAAAAAAATTTAAATGTTAAAACCCCCACATGTGTTTACTTGTGCTGGGATTAGACCTCATGTTCTGCAGAGAAAGCTTGAATAGGGTCTGCATCATTCAAAATGAAAGAGTCAGTGTTTTCCTTTGCAATTCTTCCCAGCTTTCACCCTGGATTGCTTTTATATTTTCTTGATTGCAAGATAAATTATTAACGCACAGAACATCTTTATATCTCTATCTTTTTTTCTCCCTTTCAATATGACAGTAGTAAGCATTTCAAGACACTGCTTCTGACTATAAATGTTTCCACCAAAGGTGGAGGAAGTATTTACAAGTTGAATGACACATCCTGCAGATTCAGTGGTCTTAACATGATGTTGAACCTTCATGTGAGCTGCTAGATCCTAGAGTACATGAGAGCATTTCATACTCCTCCAACACCGAAAGCATCACCTTTAGTGGTAACAGCTCCCTGAGTCAGAATAATGTGGTTTCAGACCACTGGATTATTTATCATTCCTCTACTCAAAAACAGTGAAAATTATGCTTAAGAGCAAGCTTATATTTGCAAGACAGAGCTCCTGAGGTTTAGCCATGTTGAACAGCCACTTGGAGCACTCTTGAGAGACAAGGTTTTTTACATCTGAACTAGCTGAGCAGAAGAAAAGGACTGCCTGAATAGTGACAGCCGAATGCATGCTGAAGAGGCAGGCAGAGCTGCCAACACCAAATGTCAGAGCATCCGACAAGCAGTGTTTAATAATGCTGAAATGTTATTTTAAGAATTGTTGTTTCTTCCAGGGTTGCACAGCAGAAAAAAAAATCCAAAGTTCACGAGTTCAAGACAGGCAGATAGAACAGGACCAGATTTGCAGCTCACATACCTAGTATCTGATGGGGGTACAGCATCACACACTCTCCAAACCAGCAAACTTGAGTTTTACTTTACAAATCCTATACAACTGCTCAAATTCTTGGATCTTAGTCTTTGCAAAGTGTGGGCTTTTGTAGTCTTCTTTGGAACTGAAGTACAGGAACAAGGAATGATCCTAAAAATGCCTATGCCTGTGTTCTGGCATTGATTTTCCAGCACCATGATAGTGCCTAGAAACAGAAGCACTCCAACTTCCTTGCTTGCTACCAGTGTGGCAGTTGAGAATCCTAAAGCTACAGCTTCAGCAGAGTGGGGAGAACAACTTGGATATCACCATTCTTACACCTTCCCTTTCAGGGAAGCACTGCCATTTCTTTGGAAGCTGTAGGCAACAGAAGGAAATTAATGCATCCCTCCACATTATCTGCTGGCTCCTGTAAACAGGAATCCTGCTACTGACCCCAACACACACAGGAGTAAACTCTGGGAGGCTGCACAAGTTACACCAGACACAGATCAGCTGTAGGTAACTCTGGCTGCAAGGTCTTCAAACTGCCTCACCGTGGCTCCCCCACACAAAACAGGCTTGCCAGACTGTGCTGGTTTGTTTTGTTGGTTTTTTTTGGCTGGCTGCTCAATAACACAAGCCACCACAGTTACTGTTATTTGTTAAAGGTAAGCAAACCTCAACTACATTGCAAGTGCCAGGAGCTTAGCCTGCGTTTTGCATCCCTGCCTTTCAGATCCTATTTACAATGACAGAGTTTATACAATCACACAGCTTCTACAGGAGATGCCTGACTCACTGTTAACAATCTCTATGGCTCTTTTGCAAGTTTTTTGTAATTTGCTGTTTTTCTTAAAGCCCTGAAGTCAGACGAGGATCCCAACTTTCAGTGAAGATCTCAGCTTTCACTTAAAAATAAATGAAGCTTAAGAGGCAAAAAGGAAACAAAGTGTTTTAAAAATTAAATCTCTATTTTCTAGACAGATTTTATGCTGGAATATCTGACTTGTGATTTTAGATACGTGAAATTGGCAACCCTGTCTTAACTACACACACTATAATACTTCCACTGTGCTTTACAGCACTTCTTGCCATGGGGAGAAAGCCTTTTGCTTAATGAAGCAAAAGGCACATCTCAAGCTGCTTTTCAGCCAGTGTTAGTGCCTACAGCAGGGAACCGTAGACCTCCCTGCCACATTCCTCTCATGTCAGGGAAACATAATACACTACAGCATGCTGCCTGTCCAGACAGACTTTTTCCACTCACTTGTATTTCCTGACACACATTCGTTTGAGAGGTGAAATTAACCAAACTCCTTCTCTAGCCAATATTGTTTTAAATCAATTACACTAGCATGGGAAGAATATCACCACGTAGATTTGGAAGTGGCCTACACAAAGGTGTACAGCTCTTGCTTCTTGAAAAGTAATGAAGTGATGCTTACATTTGAATATTAGTGCAATCAAATAAGGATGAAAATAGCTAATTACTCTGGTGTATTGAAAACAGTAAGATTGCACAGTAGTAACAGTTACCTACTGCTGCTGCTATTCATGACCATTGGTGTAAGTCTGTAGCTGTTGTACACTAATAAATATTCCAAAAGAAAGAGGTCAGACAATGGGTTTCTAAGAATTTGATACTGCTTGCAAGAAGCTTGGAAGGGAGCTAAGCATTGAACAGCAAATGAAAAGTGCATTTACAAACCCATTCCTCTGCCAAGTATGCAGGCATGGGCACCAGCTGAGATATACTTGCAATGACCCACTCAAGGGTGAGAAACAAGCTGGTGAACTTTGCATTGGAGAAACTCTGGCGGACTTTGCACTCATGGAGGCCTCACTCCTGATCACCACTGTGCTCCTCCCCAGGAGGCCACATCCCATACTGTCCTTTGATGTCCCCAGGACACAGACAGTGCCATGGGGTTCTCCTAAAATTGTTCCAGCTTGCCTCAGAAGCTGAGTTTTCCCCCAGGCTCACCAAGCTGTAAAAGCCCATAACTGGGCTCAAATGTCAATAAGCAATTTACATCCAGGAAATCAGCAGAAAAATGAGACCACACTAAAATGTTAACAACAAAAGCTTCTTGGCATTAAATATATATATATAAGGTTTGTCTAAGATGGCACTTTTTTCCTTCTCCAGACCTTTGGGTAACTCTCTGCTATTACACACATTTGAGAGCAAGCAGAGAAGTACTACTACTCATTTCACATCCTCGCTGTAGTGAAATATACCTTATTCCAGAACTCTTCAGTTTGTGAAGACAGATTTAAACAAAACCATGAAATCCCTGGTGGTAGTTATGCTCCCAGATCAAGACAAGTATCTAAAATGCATGCATTACCATGAACCTTATTCCAGTCTAGGGCTCACTTCTTCTGAGAAAACATTCAGATATGTCTAGAAGGATTTTGCTTCGTAAGAAACCAGAAATGTGGCCATCTCCTAGAGATTTGAGGATCTGATCAGAAAATATATCCAGAGTCACTAGAGGCATTGATATGCGATCTTTATCAAAACACATTCTGCTCAGCTTGAAGCCACGGAAGAATGCCAATGCAAACAGTGCTAGTCAGATTTTATTTCCAGTATAAGAACAACCAGGATACAATTCATCACATTTGATTTATGAGACATATCTAGAGTCCTCTATTTTTCTTTGTCTGTCTAAGAAAGCACTTTACCATTACAGAGTTTATTGTTACCTCCTACTGTGGCCTTGCCATTGCATCACTTGGCTGTTTCTAGTCTAAGAGGAAAAGCATCTTATGAAATTATTACCTCAAATGGCAAATCATTTCACAACAATACCAATTAAATTTATCACT